TTAACGGGGAAGACAGGAAAGGAGAAAACAGATGCATCCAGTGACTGGAAACTATAAGACCCCTGGGTTAGGGCTGCATTCTCTCCACCCCCACCCCGGAGCAGCAAGTCTGTTTTCTTTCGGTTTCTTATAAATAAGGCTTTGAGAGACCCAATCGGCTACAAAACAGCCCCCTCCTCTTCTGTTTTCCTTACTCAGTAACTCAGCTGTCAGTGCCTGGACTTTGCTTCCAACGCTGAAGACTTTTTTTTTCATTGTAAACTATTAATTTGGGCAGCAGTGGTTGATAAACAAGCAACCCATTTTCAACGGTTAGAATCATGAGAGAGCAACCGGGAAGACGACAGTACAGATACTTCACAAGTCTGGGGATTCTGTTTTTGTTTTCTTCCTGGCCTAGAGTTACAGCTTGTGCTTTTTTGTATTATTCAGTCAAACTTTTCAAAGCCCACTGCAGTCTGTTTGATTTCTTCTCCCCCTTGAACTGAACATTTTGTGCTTTTACACACAAGAATAAACTAGCCCCTACCTAAAGACACAGCATGACCCTTGAGGCCCAAACTAATTGCAACTAAAATCTAGTCTGGGGGAAAAATATATTAGCAAACCACGGGTGATCATTTAACTTTGATTTGTGTGTGTGTGTATGTGTGTGTGAGAGAGAGAGAGACAGAGAGACAGAGAGACAGAGAGACAGAGAGAGACAGAGTACCCATCACTGTATTAGCTTCAAATTTTCCAAGAAAATTCTCTTCTTTAAGTAAAAGCCACACACAGTTAGTGATGTTCAACTTCTAAATAAAGTTTGTTTGTTTGTTGGTTTTTCTTTCTAATCCTATCCAAAAAAGGACTGAAACCCCTATTCCAAACTTAAGTTTTTCCTCTCCTCTAGGATGCTAGCCAACCTCCATGAAATAAAACCGAAGAAAATGATAATTATGCAACCTTCAGAGCAAAGAACATAAGAATATAGCTTTCAAATGATTCACGTATTATGCCTGTAATGAGATTTTAACGCACTTTAAAAATAAGCGTGCTGCCTCACTTTGCTCCTCACGCAAATGAAATACGGGGAGATGAGTAACTAAGAGGAGTGGTTTTCAAAGTGTGCAGAAAAACCACACACAGAAAAATTCACAACGACAGAGCAACACCCCCCACCCGATTACACTATCAAGAGGGTCCCGAGACCTTGGGCCAGCTAAGCACACTGCAGGTAAACCAGAAAAACGAAGCCCCAACCAAGGCATGATCTTAAGTGATGGTTCCCTTTCCATTTTGCCAGCCAAGTCTTAGCAGCTTCTAGAAAGGTCAGGAGGCAGAAAAGGGAGAGAAATTCTAGCTGCACAAAATTGAAGGGAATCTTCAGGAATTACATTTCCGCTACATATCTATAAAAGATTTGTCAGATACATAATTCTTGTGACTGTAGACGCAACATGTTCACACACACACACACACACACACACACACACACACACACTTGTTTCTCTTTGTCTCAGTGAGCCTGACATTTGGCCAGCAGGTTTTCCCCCTCTTATTTGAAACCTCAAGCACCGAAAAAATTTGGATCTGATTATTTCCGGATCCCAGGACCAGCACTTTAAAATGGATGAAATGCAAAGCAAATTGCCCACCAGAGCCAGAGGGGGAAAATACTTTAAAAATAACTTACACCTTTCTATCACAGATGTGCTAGCCTTTCCTGACCTCCTCGGAACATGGCAGTAGCTTCCTGACCGGCTGAAAAAAACTCCACCAGATAGCACACTGAAATAAACCATCATGCCTCGTTCCACACCAGCAGCCTGATGCCCGGCACACAGCCTATAATTGCTTTTTTTCCCCTTCTTTTTGTTTGTTTGTTTGTTTTTAAGCTACAGGACTGGTTGCTCTTGGAACCATTTTTACTAATGGCAGAGTTCACATTTGTGTGATTGTAAGTCTCCCTTTTTGCTTCTTGTATACGTACATGGTAAAAAGGGCCCAGGCCCACCAAGTTGCTGTGAATTACAGTACCATCATTATCCAGTTTGGACAGATGGGATCATCTGGTAAACTACAAAGTGTTCTAGACATGGCCTAGAGACCATTACCCATTTCCAAACATTTAAGAGAGGAGACATACCAAAAACAAATGCAGTTAATTCTCTGGGTATGTTTGGAAGGCCTACTTATGAATGTCAGCTCTAAACTCAAGGGTACACATGGAGATGGTAGACGTTTCGGAACCATAAAGACCTAGAGCTAGAGGCCTCAGGAGCACAGTCCTTAGCTCTGAGTAAATCCCGGAACCTCCATGCATCAATCTACAAAAACAGGAGTCAGTTTCCCGAGAGCCAGAGTGTGCCCCATCCAATTCAAGCACACAGGAGATCTGTTCCTGCAGAAGAGCCCACGAGGTAGGCAAGAAGTGCACAGATACATTCTGAACACGGCCGGGAAGGCCTGAGCACAGAGCAGGCGTCATCGGCCATGGCCACAAAGCTGGCCTCCAGGGAAACCCCAGCTGTTTTCCTTCTTTCCAGGACTTACAAAAGAGTGTCAGGTGTTTGATAATAATTTTAAAAATGCAGGATTTGGCAATTTGGCCTTCTCAGCTGTTTGGAATCTGGATAAATGGGACTTGGCCACAAACAGATAGTGATTCTTATCACAAATAATAATGACGTTAGTCCATGATGTCACCCCGTGCCTCGTCCCTCCCGGTCGTTAGCTCAGTCCCTTCATGTGCTTACAGTCTGTCCAAGGCAACAGGCACATCATTCGAACCCTGACCCCACACCAAGCGTTACAGTCTTCTCGCTTCACTGGGTAGCAGAGGCCATGGAAGGCTCAAGGCGCAGCACCTGTCGGCCTCTCCTGGCCAGTGCAGCACCAGAATAAGTGCCCTCACACTTAACATGTAAAAATCGAAGTTTTTCACTCCTCAATCTACCGCTTTACCTCCAGTACCACTGCCCCCAGCATGGGCGTCCTGCGACGTTAATAAAAGTGACCTGCCTTTTCAGTTCCTACAGCATCCTTACCACCCTGTTTTACTGACCCTGTGACGGACATTATCACCTCCACCCAAATAAAAGTCCAGAGTCTGAGAGTATCAAACACATCACTATCTCGGTCCTAAAATGTTCTTGTTGAAGTCAGTCTCAAGGAGGAGACCAGAGGCTCAGAGCGGTGAGTTAACTTCCCTGTCATCCCACCCATGGCGGATGGTGTCTTAGCACTTACAGCGCAGCCAATAAATATGCTTCAGTTGGTATCTCTGCTAGTCTGTTTCTAATAAGCCTGAGTGGATGGGGCTGGACGGCACACATTCAAAGGGATGTGCAGTTGGGAGGGAGGGCGGCACTGTTTTGGTGGGAGATCTTGGAAGGTGTTGTTGCCTCAACGATGCTCCTAAGAGAGCATCCTGAGAAGACGGGGAGGAAGCTGCTCTTCTCTCAGACTACCCGGCCTGACTCCGAAGAACATGTGGACAGACTTTCCTCTCTCTAACCCAAAGTTATGCCAGAGCTCCAGCTCCCAGAGCTGCAGATGCTACCCCACCTGCGGGCCTCAGTGTTCTCACCTTTCAAATGGGTGTCATCTGCTCTACCCCAACAGCCCCACAGCTGTGAAGAAAAACAATTGAGAAGCCACTGGGAGACTGACCAGAAAGACCAGCTTAAGGTGCAAGGTCTGCTTCTCCCACGGCTTGTCCCTTCCCTGTTCTTTCCAAATGTAGCCCTGACTTTAAGAACTTACATCGGGTGATACATTGTGGGTAAAACGTAATTGAAGTTGGCAAGGATGGAAGCAATATGCAGAGTGCAATCCTTCCACTCTACGATGAAACAAAGGTTGCACGATCTGCAGACGGGCATGAGTGTAAGAAAGGACCTTTTATGGAACCCAGCAGGCCAGGGAGCCCCTGTAGCAAGCATTACTACCCCATTTCCCCATTTTCATTCTCCTTTAAAAAAAATTATCTCTCCTGGGAGAAGAGACTGAAGACAAGAAGGGCCTCTCCCTTACAAAGTCAAAGAGAACCCTCTGCACATGTATTTTTTTCAGCCAGGCTGGGAACGGGAAGCAAGCTGACCTAAGGTGTCGAGCTGATGTAAGAGGGTCTACAACTATAAAACGCTGGCTTTGACTTCCTTGTAAACCATCTGGGAAGTGGATCAAGGGGTCCTGGGGCTGACACGATGAAACCCCAAAGCTGCTGGTTCGGCTAATCGGGAATCAAAGAGCAGAATAGCACATCCCTTACCAATCTCTCTAATGTCTGGTTAATTATCTGTTAACATGAAACCTATAAATGACAGGTCGGTAATAATTAACTATGATTGGGCGAGTATGTTCCGGAGAGTACCAGCACCTGTCCCTGAATTTGCCCGTAGCGGGTTCTGAGCTTGCCTTGGCTTCACCAAGCACAGAAAAGCCATTTCTGAGTCAACATTTGGCCCAGATTAGATTTCAGACTCAGAAAAACGTCCGTCAGGAATCATGGAATCAATTGGCATAATAAATTCCTAACTTAACAGATGGGGAAACTGAGGTTCCTAAGGGGCATGTCCTACCGAAGTCCTCAGTTCTCTTGCTTTTCTTTTTCTTTCTTTTTCAGAGAGATTGGGATAGTTCAAAGTATGCCTTCAGCTGCTTAGAAACAGTTACTAGACACAGTTGATACACTAACATACAATACAATGTTGACGTTTCACACGACTCTTATCAGAAACATACAGAAGCAAAAATATGTAATGTAAGCTTTCTATATACACATTTCCTCCCAAAACATGCCTATTTGGCTTAAATTGAATGCTTCCAGGCATCGGTTTAGATTGACAGCCGAGCTCCAATCAACAGCAGTGATAGATACTGAGGAACTCTTAAGAAAAAGTTCCACGAAGTTCTCCAGAGAATCCTTAAAGAGCCAGTGGCAGCCGCGCCGGCGCCCGCAGCCTGGACGGACCTCTGCATGCCCGCAGTCAGCACACTGGTGCGGTCGGACTCACCCTTGCCGCCGCCAGCCTTGGACGCGCCGTAGTCTCGAGGGCTCCGGGGCCGGAGGAGGTCGTGAGCGCGTGGTGGTGGCACCGGCAGCCGAGGCAACAGATCTCGCTGGTTCCCGTCCCCGCAGCCGCCGCCACCCACGGCAATCCTGAAGGCCATGTGCGCTCCCAGGCCGGCGGACCCGCGGCCCGGGCCGGGCGCACCAGGGGCCTCTTTTGGCCTCTTGTCCGAAAGTGCCTCGGCCACCTCGCAATGCATGGCGCCGGGGCGGGGCGCACGGCTGGGGGTCGAGCCAGGCTCCTGCGGAGGGGGGAGAAAGTACCGGACTTTAGAATGCGGGAAGCTGAGCCCTCTGCCCCGGGGACCACAGTTTAGCAGTCACGTTCTACTTAGTCCCGATCTCAAAAATTTGTCAGCGTCACCACACCAACCCCATCCCTGAGCCACCTGACCCCGCGCACTGTGGTCGTCCCCCTCTTGCAGCCGTCGCCCTGGCCCCATCCTTCCGAAGAAGCGCCCCCGCGCCTAATTCGCTTCCACCCAGGGTCAGCCCTCTTTGGACGAATGGCGAAACCAAGGCCTGGGGTGGGATGGGAGAGTTCCTGTCCGGAGTTCCCTAAAGGGCAGCAGCCGGGACTCCCTGAGCAGGGCTGGGGAGAGCGGGACTGGGTTCAGATGGGCCCCTGATTGCGCAGCTCCGGGTGCTCCGGGGCAGGCTGAGCAAAGCCCGGGCACTGCACACGCACCGCCGCGGGATACAGACGCAGAACTCCCACGAGCCCCGCCACTCGCCAGAGGCCAGGCTGAAGATGAGCGCGCACGCCCACCACAAAGCGCACCCGACAGACATACATCCACGGACCCCGACGCGGGGGAGCACGCGCAACCAACGTCGCCCACGCACGCCGGCTCCCACGCACACTCGCGCCCGGCCGATGCGCACTCCGAGACCAACCATGCCACACGCTCCCATTCACTGGCTCACACTCCGCAGCGCCGGCAGCCGCGAGTCTCACGCGGGAGCCTCGGCATCATCTCCAGCATCATTCCCGCGAGAGCGAGGCCTCAGGGCCCCCAAACTCGCCTCGCCCCTCGGCGCGCCCCGCGCCACCCCAGAACTCGCGGATTTGGACACCGCTGAGTCCCCGGCGCGAGCCGCGCCCCTTCTCACCTCGCCGCGGGCACAGCGGCTCGCGGGGCGCACAGCACGGCGCGCCTCCTCTGGCGCCGCAGCCCCCGCAGCCGCCGCCACGGCCGCCGCGTCCTACGGGGCGACACCCCGGGGGCGGAGCGGCCCGCCGCTGCCCACAACCGCTCTGGCCGCGACTCTCGGGGGCTGCCGGACTAGGCCAATGGCGGCGCGAGGGCGTGCCGCTCGCCTGGGGGCCTGGGCGGGGCGGCGCGCGCCCGGGCTGAGGTTTTGACAGCGGCCGAGCCCTGCACGCTGGCTGCCGGAACTCTGCCGGACCTCAAGGCGCCTGGAAGAGGAGAGCCCGAAGACAGAGCCAAAGCAACCCGGCTTCGTCCCCTCCGGGGCGGGATCCTGCTTCTCCCTGGTAAATGGGAATGGCAGTGCCTGCTAAAGCGGAGGTAACAGATGAAAAAGTGATTGACAAGTTATTTTGTTTTGTTTCTGAAGACTCTAACCGGCTCAGTTGAAGAAGTCGCACAGATTTCAGGGACAGTCAAGAGGAAACCCAGGCCTCAGCCCACTTCCTCACGATTCTGTGATGTTTTCTAAAAAGGATCCATGGGGGGGGAGTGGGTCTCAGAGGTCCCCTGTAGCCTGTACTGGTTCCTTTCTTCGTCTTCTCTCCCTCATCCCGGCTTCAGGGTCTCAGGAGACCCTGCAAGATGTGTAAGACGACAACGGCCTGTGCAGAGGGTCTTGCCTGGCTTTTAAACTGTTTGAGAGTGGTCCCTGGCCTTACACTTAAATGGGGAAACGTGTGGAACTCCAGCAATGGGCCAGGTTCACAGACTGGGATTCTACACATAGGACGATAATCCACGCAGCGTTCCCGGAATCTTGGTAAAACAAGATTCTCCAGTCACAAAATGTTAAAATTTAATTTCTGATGCCTTACTTAACAGCAACGTAATTGGAAGAAGTACCCTGATGTTTTACTCAAACCCACCCCCACACTCAAGGCCAGCCACAACAGGGCAGGGTGTGGCAGAGCACCCCGCCTCCCACACCAATGTTTTTCCATTCACAGTAACAAGGGCAGGGCAGCTGACACTGCAGGTGATGCACAGGCCCGGGGTGCAACGGGCACCTCAGAGGTCTTGCCTCCTTCTGGGAATTTGTTGTTGGGTCTGTCACTTTTAAGACAGGATGGAGAAGAGTGCTGGCTACCCAGTACTTGAGAGTCCCCTCCCATACCACCCCCTGTTTCTGAAGTGTATGTAGGACCTGGCTCTGGCCAACAGGTATGTGGCTTTAGACAAATAGCCCTACTTAGTTTATCAGTCAAAAAGCAAGAAAGCAGGAAAGTCTGGCTTTGCATATATTGCCCTCCTGTGAGGCCAGGAGATGAGCAATCTGCTCCCTCACACACACCACCCATTATGGACACATACCCCAACACACACACACACACCACCCATTACAGACACATACCCCCAACACACACACACACACACACATCACCCATGACAGACACATACCCCCAACACACACACACACACACACACACACACACACACACACACACACACACACACAGTACTACACATTTAGTTCAGACTGAAAACACTTGCCAGATGAGTCACTTAGCCAACTGGACAAGCAGCCAAAAGCGCTCCACATTTCCCAACACAGCAACACTCCTTTCCTTGTCCTTTGCTGCATCCCCTCCTCAGACTAGCCCTTGGATCTGAAGCTGGGGACCTTGCACGCTCTCACAGAAATGCCACAGCAGGTAGCCAGAGAAAGTAGTGGGCTGACTGAGCCCTCAGTTCAATGGACCTCTCAAACACTGCGTGTGGCAGGACTTTTTGGCAGATGTATAGGTCTGGTAGGCTTCTGCACACTTCTCCTAGAAGGGAATAAAAGGGCCTGGTAACAATGGTTAAAGGTTGGAAGACACAGGAAGCCTGCATTTTTCATTTTTATACTTCTCTAAACGTGGGTTATTTTCTAACAAGATAATCTCTTTACCTTTCCACAAGGATTAACTGATTATGGGGTGTATGTTTTTTCTTCATACTTTTGCCATTAACATTCATTAATATTTTAATCAGAAAGAATAAAATATAAGAGCAAACAAAACCTAGTATTCACTTCAGCAAGCTAGACCAGAGCTTCATAAAGCATTCTACTTTACCGCAGTATATGTATTTTTCACAGTAACCGAGTTCAAATGCCAGGCCTGTGTACATTCTGTCTACTGGATATAGCCACCTCGACTCATCTGACAAAGCAAATCATTTTTCCTACTCTTTACTTGCCCTTTACTGTTCTGCCCCCACCAGGTGAATGACCCTTGTCAAGTCCCCAAATAAGAAACCTGAGCATCATCCCAGACCTTCCAGTATCACGAAAGTCCTAACAGCCCCCTCTTCCCCATCCTTGCTATATTTCTTCCTGTTCTCAGTGCCTCCATCCACCCTGCTCCTCCTCCTAATAAGCCATCTTCCACAGTGGTTTCCCCATCAGTCTGAAATGAAGATCTGGCCCTGGTACTTTCTCACTGTAAGCTTCACCAATAGTTTCCAATGGCCTTATAGATAAAATTCAGGGTTTTTTGTTTTGTTTTTAAAGATTGATTTATTCATTGTATGTTCATGAGTGCTTTGTCTGCATGTATATGTCTATGTACCACGTGCATGCCTGGTGCCCACAAAAGTCAGAAAAGAGTCTCGGATAGCCTAGAACTGGAGTCACAAGGGTTGGTTGTGAGCCCCGTGCAGGTACTGGGAACTGCACCCAGATCCTCTGCAAGAACAGCCAGTACTGTTAACCACTGAGCCATCTCTCCAATCACAAAATCAAGACTTAAAAAAAGTGTGTGCATGCCTGTGTGTGTATGTGCTTGCATGCACACAGGTGCACATGTGCTGTGGCATGTGTGTGGAGGTCAGGAGGCAACTCTTGGGAGTCCCTCCTTTCCTACCACCTCGTGGGGTTGAACTCAGGACAGATCGTCAGACCCACATGCATGTGTCCACCAAGTCATCTCCCTACCCATAAAAATCATTCAAAACATGTGGGAGTCAGAGGACAGCCTGTGGGGTTGGGTTGTCTCTCCACCATGTGGAAGTCATCTGGCTTCATTTCACAGCTGGCACCTTTACCCACTGAGCCAGCTCAGTGGTCTTTAATCAGAATAGCATTTAACCCTTGGTCCTACCTTACTAGAATAGTTTTCATCTAGAACCCACAACTTATATGGATGCCTTAATAGCTGTGGTTTTGTTTCCTAATGCTAACGCGGTTCCCTCTCATCCACATTACTCATTTCTACCCACAAGTCCTTGACTTCCCAGTTCAACTGTCTTTTGTCTCTGCAAGCTTTCCTCAAGTCCTCCGACCAGGATTACCTTCTCCATGCACTCACTCAGAGCCCTTTGCTTGAACAGGTCTCAGCTCCTGCCACTGTTTTATCTGTTCCGCCATCGGAGAGTCCTGCAAAGGCAGAGGCAGCCTTTAGCGTCTATGTCCCCAAGGCTAGAAGAGTTCCATGCACAGAGCCAGCGTGGAGCAACGGGGTTATTAAAGATGGGCCACTATTTCACTTATGCTTGCGTGTCTAGGTAAGTACTTCTCCTAGAAGAGTGATCCCCCATACTGTTTGTCCAGGAGTGCAAGCTTCCATTCAGGAAATGGATGAGATGAAAGTAGACTCCTGTGCCCGGGACTTCAGGAAGGGAGGCAGAGGCGATGGATGCTCCCCTGCTTTACTCTGCCTCTACACCTGCCGTGTGCCCTACACGTGATCTCATGCTGTCCTGACAAGGCCTCTGAGATAAGAGGCTATCATTCTTGTTTCCTAGGTATGGAAATGAAAGCTCAAGATTAAGAAATGTATCAAAGTTCTCATAGTTCAGAGTGTCTAACTCCGTGACCAAGTGATTTTCAGGAAGTGTGCCATAACCACTCATTGAAGAAAGAATACTGTCTTCAACAGGTGCTATTAGGATAACAGGATAGCCACATGCAGAAGAATGAACCCTTATCTCACACCATCTACAAACAGTAACTTAGGATAGAACAGCAACCTTTGTGAAAAACAGAAAACACAGGGATCAGTCTTCACTTTGGATTCAACAGTGCAATTTTTTGCTAATTACTCTAAATACATGAGCAACGGAAGAAAACCTAGATAAACTTGAGTTCATCCAAAATTAAAACATTCCGGGGATGGAGAGATGACTCAGCGGTTAATAGGTTCTGAGTTCAATTCCCAGCAACCACAGGGTGGCTCACAACCATCTACAGTGGGATCTGATGCCCTCTTCTGGCATAAATGTGTATATGCAGGTAGAGCACTCATACGTAAAATAAATCTTTACAAAATTAAAACATTTCTGTATCAGAGCAGAGTGAAAAGATGGTTTATCTAGGCTCTGCTATGCATGGCTGCTTCAAGAGAACTGCTTGGGTTCCAGAGTCAAGGCCAGCCTGGGCAACAGAGTGAAAGTTGGCTAAAAGAGAGAGCCTGGGCTACATTGTAGGAGGACCCTTTTTGAAACAAACCTTCCCCACATAGAAAAAAGTCTTAAACCCAAATTCAATACAATTTTTAAAATGGGCAAAGGCTGAGGCACAGACCTGTAACCTCAGCTACCTGGAAAGCAGATGTGTAAAACTACAGAGTAATTCAAGGCCAGCTTGTGTGACTTCACTGAGACCCTGTTCTGCAATAAACAGTGAAGAGACGTTTGGTTGGGAATGTAGCTCAATTGTAGAGAGCTTGCCTAGCACACGAAGTCATGGGCCCAGTCCTTGGGACTGAAAAGGGGGGCAAGCAAAGGATCTGACTTCACGTTTCATCAGGAAGATTCACAAAGACATTAAAAGATGTCCAACGTCATCAGTCATTGGGAAGATGCAAAACCACAATTTTTAGCACCACTCTAAATCTGATAAAAAATGGCTGCAGAGGGAAGATGGGAGGGGGAGGGTGTGAAGATACGGGAACCCTTATCCATTGCTAGTGGGACTGTCAAATGGTCCCCCCACAATGGAGATCAGTTTGGCAGTCCTTCAAAGACTTAACAGATTATCATGTGGTCTAGTAACTCCAATTCTAGATATAAATCCAAAAGAACTGAAAACATAAGCAAATGCATGTACAAGTGCGTGCACTGCAGCTCATTTCCAGTAGCCAAAAAGTAGAAACCACCCAAATGCTCATTAACAGATGACAAACTGTTACAAACAGCTGGATGTTGGTGGCACACGCCTTTAATCCCAGCACTCAGGAGGCAGAGGCAGGAGGATCTCTGTGAGTTCGAGGCCAGCCTGGTCTACAGAGAGAGTGCCAAGACAGCCTCCAAAGCTACACAGAGAGAAAAACCCTGTCTCGAAAAACCAACAAAACAAAACAAAAACAACAACAACAAAAAACTGTTACAAACATACAGCGGGATGTAACGTACTTTCCAAAGGAAAGACACATGGGCCTCAAAAAAACACGCTAAGTGCAGTAAGCTAGACACAGAAAGTCTTAAATCATGTAGTTCCACTTACATGAAATAATCAGTAGGTTTTTTGTGGAAATAAAATTCAGAAGGTTGACTGTCAGGGGTGAGAAGATGGGGTCAGGGGGAGTCTTTTGGGTCCTGAAAAAAAAATCTGGAACTAGGTAGAGGTGACATTGACAACACCTGGAATATATTAAATGCCACTGAATTGTCCACTTTTAAATAGCTAATTATATGTTATATGAATATTGATGCATTAAAACATTTAGGTTACTAAGAACAACGTGAACGTGAGTCTAAAGCCAGGGCTTCCATCACTACACTTGGGGAATTTGCTGGGAATGGCCCAGAGCAAGGCTTCTATAGTGGCTGTGACACCATCCAGACAGGGGACATGAACAAGCCCATCTCTGGTTCTTGAATGCTACCCCTGCCAGATAAAGATGGCAGTACCTGACCCAACAGGGCTGCCAAACATTAATTTAAGGCAGAAAATAAAACAAGTGAGAAGATGAGAGATGGTTAATATTAATGAAGTGTCCACCCTGCTGCTAACATTGTAGTATCCATCTAACAAAGATGCCGCATGCCTCTGTGTGCCCACACTTCTAGTGACCCTTGTCTCTGCCCATAGGGAAGTGCTCCAATCACACACACTTACCCTACTGTGTCCAGCTCCACCACGAGTTCTGCGTATCTGGACTGAGGTCATCAAGTTGCAGAGCATATGCTTTGCCCATTGAACCATCTCCCCAGCACCAAAGATGCTTTTAAAAATAAAGCACAGGACAAGGAGGACGACTCAGTGGGTAAAGTGCCTGCTGTATAAGTTTGAGGGTAAGAGTTTGGACCCCTGGCATCCATTAAAAGAGCTGGACTTGGCAGCGTGGGCTTGTAATCTCAATGCTAGGGAGGCTGGGACAGAAGATTCCCAGGGGCAGGGAGGAGGATGTTGCTGGCCTAGCCAATCAGTGAGTTTTAGCTTCAGTGAGCTGTCTTCTCTCAAAAGATAAAGTGGAGGACAAAGAGGAAGACATTGATATTGACCCCTGACACGCACACACATATACTCACACACATGCACACACAAAAAGATGGGGAAAAACCCTTGGAACATCTCTACAAATCACGGTTACAAACAGCTACTAAGGATGTCTTAGATGAGCATATATGAGACTAAGAACTAGGACTAGAAGGTAATTTACTGATTAAACAACCCAACAAACAACAACAAAAAACACCAAACCTACAGCCAACATCACACACATACACTGTGCTTAGTGTAAAGACTGTACTTTCCCCTATGATCAGGAACAGGCAAGGATGTGAATGCCCATTATTCCTCTCCAGCAGCACCCTGGAAGTCCTGGCATGCCTGGTAAAGGCAAAGAAAAGGAGAAGTATACAAGTTGGAAAGGAAGAAAATAAACGTCTCTATTGACAGATGGCATACATGATCGTCTATGTAGAGAATCCCATGGAATCTCAGAAGGTAAGATGCCTCCTTGGACTGGGAGGTAAAGCCGGGAAAGTGCCTGCCACACCGTATAAGGACATAAGTTCTGACCCCCAGAACCCACAGAAGCCGGGCATGACACGCACCTGTAATTACCGTGCTGAGAGGAAAGACAGGAGGAAGTCAGGGGCTTGATACCCAGGAGTCTAGCTAGTGGTGAGCTCCAGTTTTAATGAGACCCCATCTCAAAGGGTACGGAAGAGCGAGACAGAGACAGAAGTGTTGACAGCCTTTGCTGTACACCTATCAAGCATTATCCTAGGTTTAGAGACTGACAGTGCTTCCACCTAATGGGGGACACAAATATTCAGCTAGTCATATAAACAGGGGAGAAATGGTCCTTGCTGAGAAGATATGAGTTGGAGAGGGAAACCCCAACCTCAGGGCAAAGGTGGACTTTCACAGTAAAGGTGGGGGTCACACTAGAACCTCTGGGGATAGAGGGAGATGGGCTGTGGAGCTTTCCAGCTAGACAGAAAGCATGTACACAGTTCTGTGGCTCAGGGAATCAGATCCCTTCCGGGCAGCAGAGGCAGAGCAGTGTGAGTGGGGTGGCTGAGTGAGGGCAGCAGGACACCAGATGACACTGGGGGAGGGGCAGGGCCAGGTCCTAAAGGCAAAGCAAGACAGTGAGGCAGACACCATCAGATCTGTTCTGAAAATAGTAGCCCAGCTGTCGTGTAGGAAATGGCCAGAGAAAGAGGCAAGCGTGGGTGTGGGAAGAGTGGGCACAAGGCCAAAGTGAGGCGTGAGGAGCCTGGACAGGGCACCAGGAGTTGTGGGGATGGGGATGGTCTGGGAAGCAGCAGTGAGTGTGTAAGATGCAAGCCTGACACACGGGACAATGGGGGGGGGGTTGTGGCTGGAGCCTGGAAAAACACAAGTTTTAGAGTTTGGAATATTCCCTGGGTGGCCCAGGGCATTCTTCAGCCCTAATAGTGGTTTCCAGAAGCAAAGAAGATGTCACAACCAACAAGCTCCTAAGTCAGATCCCTTCCTCACGCTCATGACACGCTACTGCATTTCTATACAAATTTTAATTGGTTTTCAGCGAGTCTCTGTATTCACAGGGAAAGCAGAGTAAGACAATAGAAAATGCACGTCAAATGCTGCTAACAGAGACAATAGGTTTTGACAGCTTGAAAAGTTATGAGGGACAATCAAAGCTGTCCATAAAGGAGCCGGGACCACGGAAGCGCAGCAGCACCCCTGTGGCAGGTGGCTTCACACCGTCAGCCGCAGACGACGGTATACCTTCACTTCAGACACCAATGCAATGACAAGGGCTGCACCGCCTCTACCACATGTACAAATTGAACTCCAAGAGACTTAGAGCAGTAGGGAAGCAGCAGGTTCAGGACTCGGCCCTACATCTTCCTGCCACGCCCTGCGTCCAGCTGAAGTAGGGCCCTCTGGTCCTCTGGCCGAGAATGCCATCCTGACTGACTGCTCCACCCCATCAGCCCAGGACTCCTAATGGCCATTCTGCATGCAGCCTTCTTTCCCACGCCAGCCCCAAGCCAAACACACACAGCCTTGTCCATACTCCCTTCTGGGACTCTACCTCCGTCAGCCACCTCAGAACGCTTGCCTTCCGCCATGTTACAGACCTGTGTGTGGCTTTGCTGCGTTGCCTATACTGAAGCAAAGGCTGTAACATGGCGGGTACAGAGTGAACTGGCTCATGAGGGCAAAAGGGAGGCCAGCGAGGCTTCGGCGGTGCCTCTGAGAAAGCAGAAGAACCGAAGGCTCACATTCACTCGTTTTCTTCTTACACAAGCTTCAAGTTGATGCGGAGCACACCGCACTGTCATTCAGACGCTTTTTCCCAACACACCTTAGTCCTCCACACATGCACATGCACAAGCATTCTCAAAATGGGAATGAGACTGTAACCATCAGTAAGTATGATTACGAATTACAAAGTCTATTAAAAAATCAGCTTTCAGGCATTTGAAAGACATTTCTTCCTTCCCCCCAAAAGGCCCTTGCTATGTGGCCTCAAACTCATAAATTCAATTGGCCCTCCTGTCATGGCCTCCCATAACTGGGACTGCAGGCATATATACACCACCTTGCTGACTTGATTGACATCTTCTTGCATAAGCCTATTCTCTAACATATATCTATATCTATCTATCTAATATATATATATACATATATATATTCTGTGCCATACGTAGGCAAAGCCCAAGGTATCATAATGTTAAAGTCAAAAGTGAACTTCCAAATTATTCAGTCTAATTCCTTAACTTTGCTATTGAAAGGTTTGGTGGAAAGGAATTACAGCTCAATGTCACAGAGCCAGAGATGAGACTAAAAGAACTCAGTTCCAAAACTATTCTAGGAAGGATGACTGGCAACCAACCTGGTTGTTCATTCTTCCTTGTTCTCCAACAATAAAGCCACAACTTTAAGGGATGGCATACAACCTCTAAAAGAATTTTCCAGACTCGTGTTATCAGATATGGTCATGTGATTTCTGGGCGTTGGTGGTGCACGCCTTTGATCCCAGCACTTGGGAGGCAGAGGCAGGTGGATCTCTGTGAAGTTTGA